CATCATGTGTCCTCACCTCAAATACGCTATTTAGGCTTGCAAGAAAATGCCCACGTGTGACCTCGCAGCGTTCGAGTCTCTGCAACATTGATCAACGGCAAATGCCACATTTTTGTGCCACCATCCGTATCAGGAACGACTGAAGAAACTCGGTGTGTTCAGCGGACGCTACTGGCTGCTACATGAAGACCACACATATTAGTATAGAAAATACTGAACGGGCCCAGTCGCGTATGCCACCACCCTTTGAAACCCAGGCCGAGTACCAATTTTAGAGGCAATATCCTGAAAGTTAGTCAGCAATACAGTCGTCTAAATTATCGTTGTTATTTCCCCCCTGGTCTGCCAACTCTGGACGCCCTTCCAAACTCATAGACACAAATCCGCCTGGCCAGAAGACGTGGATGGCATACATACTTCAATCCCGTCCGGAAGCCTAACAAATTCGCCGCTCACCTTGAGTCCAGTTGATCATTACCAGGCTACTTGGCGGAGTCCATATTGAAGGGAGAAGGAATGTAGCGTATGAATCCCCATCGATAACCGTATGTCCACACAGGCAGCATCGGCTGTTTGTCGCGCACATACTCATTGAGGAACTGCTCTGCAGCTTTGTTATACTTGAGGCAACACCTCTGTTATGATTGCGTAGATGCCTGATAACATTGGCACTGGCACGGTTGGAGCACGCCTACGGTAACGGCTTGGAACGCTGACCAATCGAACGGATTTGCGCTGACCTGACGGCCTTAGCCCGGGGTACGCGCTGGTGAGACGGAAATTGAGCGAGCGTGAGAACGATCCTAGCCGCATGTATTCGGGTAGACGCTGAGCCCTCGGAATGGACGCACACGAGAGGGGGTTACGGTAGACGCGAACGCTGCCCGGCTAACGACGCACACAAAATCATGTGACCGACCGACTCCCAACTAAGGCAAAGAGGAAGCAAGGCAGATGGTCCTCTCAAGACTCTTTTAAGACCAACAAAGGGCGGATCACAGCTAGTGCAATGGGTCATTAAGTTAGGGAAAATTGATACCAACAAGGGGTCGTAGTTTGCAAAAGAACATTGTCACTAGGTGGGCAGTTGGGCCGCGTCTCTGAGTGGCTGAACGCTGCTACGTTTTGATGAGGAAATGGACCCCGCTTTCCACAGCCATTTTGCCGGAGTTTCTGGCGCACTTTCGCGGGGATATTTGACGGGCCCGCAACAAGCATGATGCAAGTGCTGCACATAATTCTGATTATACTACACAATGCGTGCTGTCAGTTTGGATTGTTCCGTTGCCTTGGCTTCTTTGGGGCTACGAGCTGTCAGTGCCTTCATAAACCTTCGTTAGTTTCTCACGCGGAGACCTTAATATCTTCTTAGCGGGCACAAGCTTCTTTTGGCTGTTTGCAGTCTCAGCGATGGGCTAGTCCGGAAATGGATACCGTCAACAATAACGCTTGGCCAATAGGAGTACGTTCCGCAGTGACACAACGTACGGATGGGTGGAACAATAGGGATGCAGAGAAAAATGTGTAGTGCATTTATCATGGCAGTATGGCTGATAGCACGACCGCTACTGAGTGCGTTCTTGCCACCTACGAAAAGGTCTCCAACCCGGCATACTCGTAATGCTTAGGGTGCAAGTGCATGACTCATAAGCGCCTGAGCACAGCCAAAGTTGACTTTAGCACTTTCATATTGTGGGCGCTAGTCAACCGTTCGCCACCTTGGTTTCGCCTCCAGCCGCCATCTGCGCACGCAAATAGTGTACGGCGAAGTAATCGCTGAGCTGGCATACGAAGCCCCTACCAAAACTACCTAAGGCTGTGCAGTGAAATTATGCAGCTCAGCAGAGCAGCCGTTCTGAAGATCCATCGAAGGACGTCATCGCGACTAAGATGACATTGAGATCGCATACCAGCAGTGCTCTGAATGCAACGATGATAATAATATACAGTCTGTATGTATTTTGCTTGTAGTGCTCAGGTTTCGCAAGCACAGTGCATCACCACTTTCACTGCAGCATTGTTGATCTCATACTGGTGTATTAGGTCCTCGAGGATCCCAACCACGCATGCCACTGTAGGGCCACCATTATAAGTTGGCGACACAATGTATCCGGTTAGAATGTCGCAGGATTGTTTAGTCCATTCTTATATCGCGGCCGTGGAACTTGCTTCTGCATTCTGTAATCTCCGCTTCTACGTTACCTGAGTTCAAAACTCAACTTGACGATGAATTACACAACTTGGGTAATATGATTCAACCAAAGTTACTGGGACACGTGACTACGTACCCAAACTGTGTGTGCACGTGAAACGTGCGTTAAATCCAATGGTAGGCATTTTTTGATTCACACATTTCGAACCGCACTCTTTACCCACGGAAATATTCTAAGGGATTGCTTATTTCTCCTTGATAAATTCATTGTCCCGTTGTTGCATTGTACCACGATATTCGCAAGTGTTTGCTACTTTGAAAATGCTGGTCAATCCAAGAAAGGAGTTTTATCAACCACAGCACTGTGCTTAATATTGTCCCTAAGTATACTAAACATGGAAACACTCGGATAGTTGCGTATCAGATAGAGCACCGGGGAAGATTAAAAACCCGAGTGGTCTGCGTGTCTGGTTTGCAACCGTAAGGTCACCGGTTCCAATCCGTGCGAGGGTGGGCGTCCTCGCCGTACACTCAGACCACGCGCGACTGGTGGTAGTCGCGTAGCAGAGAAGCGCTGTTACGGCGTACAGCTGGCAATTAGTTTATTTACTTAATTTCCTCACATAACTAACGATCCCACATGAATTGCTGGGGTCGGAACAAATTAACTTCACAGTTCGGGTGCAAAAGGTCACAGGTGTAGATACAAATATCAGACCTCACCAAAAGGGTTGCATCGCCCATAAGAGGAAATCGAATTCCAGGTGAAAAGAGGTTGTTGTCGTGACAACGTACAGCTAAGGGATAAAATGGCACAGTTGAAAAATCCACGGTATGGATTAGAGTAAAAGACAATCGGTTGGTGTAGTAGTTTAGTAACGTTTCGCCGTTGACACAAAGGCTTCGTCAGACCAGGTGAATCCGTGTGCAATTGGAGTGGGATTTTATAGCGAACACGGGCGATAACCGCGTTACCCGAGACTTGAGCCAAGGTAGCATTACTATCACCGTTCGTGATGTCACCTCAGGTGGTTCAATCACAGTGGGAATAGTCCAGGTGTTCCTTTGTGCGTCATGGCATTGACGGATAAGCCCATAGTGTTGACAATGGGAGTCGGTTTGCACTTTCCAATCTGATCCACGCACCGATGCTCGTCAGGCTGGCCGGCTTAAGATCGCTCGCCACGCATTAGAGAGTTCTACCCCCTCCATTCTATTCACGCAGTCGTCAGATTTGGCAATTTCCACCGCTGAGGTGTTGATCGTATACCCCTCCTAATGACCTCTACGTTTTCCAAGTCTATCTGGTGACCCGTGTCTAATGCATGCACAGCCACGGCCGAGTCTCTTACTATTGCCTGGTATTCAAACTCGTTTCTTGGTGGTCTTGAAATGCGCCTCCTGTGCTCTGAAATTCGTGTGCGTAATTCTCTCGCTGTTTGGCCTATGTACACATGTGCACAGTCCTTACATTTAATTTTAGAAACACAGTTAGTCGTCCTATCCTTCAGGTGTACCTGCGCCGAACGTAACGTTCGACCTCGCTGAAAGATCACCCTTACATTTTTCCTTGTTTAGTACCCTCTGAATTGCCTTCGACGTGCCTTCATTGTACGGAATTCCTACCCTCTCTATCCACGCGGTTTGGGATCTTGACTGCCGGTTTAACACTTTATCCAATTGGCGTTTGACTAGCCGCCGTGGGTAACCACTTTCGAATAGTTTGATCATTACCACTTTCCGCGCAGCCTTTTGTCCTCCTTCATCGTGCACAAGGTTTGTGCCCTGTAGAACAGCGCTAAGGCTATCCCAGCGTAAACCTGTTTCGGATGACCTGAAGTATAGTGGAGTACGCCGTCAGTATCCGTTGCCTTACGATATAGTGTAGTCTTTAAATTTCCCCCATTCCTGTGAACCAGGCAGTCAAGAAATGGCATTGATCGCTATAACCTTCCAAATCAATAGTAAACTATATCCTCTCCTCAATGGAGTTTAAGTGATCAAGTAACTCGTCCTTCTTATCCCGTTTAACGAGTACAAAGGTATCGTCTACATAACGCCACCAAATTTTTGGTGAGTTAATGGTGTTTGTGAACGCTCTTTTCTCGAAGTCTTCCATATACATGTTCGCCAGTACAGGGGATATTGGCAATCCCATGGCGAGACCTTGTTCCTGACTGTACAGCTTCGACTGAAAAACGAAGTAAGACATGTTAAGACACACTGCCATACCCTCGATTATCTGGTTAACTGTTAGTTTCGTCCGATTACTCAAAGTGACACCTTCATTTAGACAACGTCTTGCTATTCTTAGCGTCTCTTCTTTGGGTACTTTGGTGAAAAGTGATGTGACAGCGAAACTGACCATCAACTCATCTGACTCGATTTTGGGACTTGCTATCTTTTGAGCGAACTCATAAGAGATTTTCACGAATCTACTCGTTCGCCTTGTTAGAGGCTTCAATATCCTTGCCAAATTTCTAGCCAGTTCATGGGTCGGGGAGCCTATACCGTCGACTATGGGCCGTACGGGAACTACGGGCATGTGAACTTTTGGCAAGCCGTAAACCCTCGGAGGTAAAGTCGATTTTGGGTATAGACTGTACCACTTGCCTGACCCTAAATCGTCCTACGGGACTTGTTAAATACTTGCTTTTTTACCCCTAATTCTCCAGTGTTCCACTATTCCACTTACCTAGTCGTTCCTCATCATATCACCTAAGGCTTATGATGACTTGAGTTGTTTTGTTATCAAATCAGTGCATGTACGTAGATGATATAAGCTCACCACTCCTTCAGTCAATGTACAGATGCAAAACACCAGACAATTTTTCCGTCATTTTCTTAGTTTCAACGTTACGTAAACAAATTACGAGGGAAAAATGCAGTGTACAAACAGAAGCGAGCGCAACTGTGTGAACTACGCACAGAACGAGGTATTCTGACTAGGACGCTGGAGCGCCTTCGAATGGAGGACGAGGAGGCGAAAAGAGCTGTTGGCGTTGCTGAAGTTGCTCAAGGAATCGCTGGTTATTGGGAGACACAGACTACGATGCAAAAAGTAAATGTTCCTGTTGAACTTATGACATCATCCAATCCATTGTTTACAGTGTGATGGAGATTTCCGGAGTCAACTACATCACTTCGTCCATGTCCGGTTAGGTACAGTCGGTTTTCTTCAACTTAATAACATGAGTTGACATAAAATCATCACCATTGTAACCATTAATATTCGAGTAAATTGCAGTGCCTATCTTCCACAAAACATAGAAAACAGTTTTCGGAGATGGGGTTCGCACGAGAACTAGCGCCGTGAAGCTTGGTGTGAACCAACACAGCAATGCCGATCATCGATGTTGGTGTCGTTATTTATGGACGTCTTTAACGGTTCAAAAGTCAGTCGCTGTTGGCGTACGCTGTATTTTCCTTCAGTTATGAGACGACGTAACAATTTTAAAAGCCTACCCCTTCAACGTGAAGAATAGCGTCAGTGTATTTCGGGAGAATCTTCTCGTATCACTAAACCCCTTCGTTGCTCTTGTACGCTGTTGATATTGTTGAGACCGGCGCGCCACACAAGGATTTAAAAGCAGATACTATGCAACATATCATGAACACAGATGTGGTTTGCAACCCAAATGAAATCAGTTCGGTCCATGCCACCCGAATTTGTAGGCTCATTAAAGTCGTCGTAACTTACGCTCCCTTGAAAAATCGATGACAGATCAGCCAACTGACGGTTATCTGCGCGAATGAAGACTAAGGGTTTGGAGGCACTCGTCTCCCTTAGTGTGTACTACTGAAAAGCTGGTTTAAGTTACTGGCTGCGTCTAGCCTTTATATTTACTGCACTACCAGATTAAGAAGCAATCTCTCCAGCCGATTGACCAGCTAGTCCAACTGACAATCAATGAATTCTTTGCCAAAGCGAGAGGGGTTTCCTACACAATCGCAAGCAAAAAGAACGCAACTAGCAATGTAATTTGGATGCCTGCTTCGCAGATCAGTAATGAAGCACAAATAATTCAACGGTGACGGTTCCAGAGCAGTACACGTCACTTTGAGTATGTTATGATTTAATTTGTTAGGATTTACATTTGTCAATCGTGAGCGACGTTGCATGACATACCTCCTTACTTAAGCCTTGTGTGCTCTAGTAACTACCTCTACACATCACACATTGTAGACCTAGCTTCGAAAGGTGACAAGGCAGTGAACAGTTTAACCGGGCGAGCACTCATGGTGATTACACAGCCGACAACCAACCCGGCAGTTTCATTCCCCGTGTATATTCCTGTCAAAAGCCTTAAGCTGATGTCATGATTGAAAAGGTAATTATGGGAAGAGATGTGCATAAGTAGTACGCATGCGGGCCGCATTCGGAGAGAACGTGGTCTACTGCCGGCCGGTTTATTTTATTTCCCCGTGAAAGACAGACGCATTGTGAATCTTCGATAGAAGCATCTCGGTACGAGGTCAAATATTCGGTGGAACGGGTAAACACGCTGTCGATGTATTACATCCATATCCCACAGCCTAATTATTACCTTATCAATGGTGTTTCCTTGATTGTATTCGAGACATGCATAGACTAACCGCTGACTACATGTATTGTCTTTTGCTGCTATGATTCAGAGGCTTAGATCGTACCACTTCACCTTTTTACTCCAACTTTCACATCTATGCTAGGTATCGGAACAAATGTCTTGCCTCAATCAGCGTAAGGGGGATATGCTGAACGAAATGTCATCGATGGTCCAACAACTGACATCACGGATTAACACAAAGCGCAATCAGCTAGCTCCAATTTTACATGAACTCCGACCCCTACGTCAACGAATTCAGGTGAGCAAGGCTGCTGGATGGCCATTCTTAAGCTCTAATGCACACCACATGCTGCAAATTACAAATAATTAGGGTAGGGGCACGTTCGACCACCCGCAAGTTTTTGAGTGGACACTAAAAGAGCTGATTTTGTGTCTCATTCTGCTGTACGATAATGCACCGAAGAAAGGCAACCTGAGAGGAGCGTTGTCGGAAGATGCTGGTGGGTTGCTCTGTATATCAGCTGTTGGTGACCACCACCGGGAAGACCTACTACCCCAGCATTTCTATGGGACTAGTAACTACTATAACTGGCCTGCCTATGCAACTGAGTGTCTGTATCAGAAAACGAATACATCCAACCACAGTGGACCATATTTGTGGGACTACAACTGGATGTGAACAGGGAAACGAGCAGTAACACAGTCGATGCACTAACTCACTCAGGGACAAAACATGGAAACGCATAGGTTGGAGAGCAAGAGAACAAGAACGGAAGAAGCGCTAATTAGTTGTAAAAATAAACGAAAGATACGTAAGATCTTCTAAGTTGCTGCAATCTAGCCATCGCAGTGTCTTGCCAATACTATCTATAGCTTGCACGTAATCTTCCGTTGCTGGACACAGTTAGGGTAATCCACAAGCCAAAACTTGTGGAAATTGCTGCAACCTAACGATAAACATAACTCCGATCGGCTTCTCTACACATGTATTAAGAAGCAGCTACAGATTTGTATCATACCATTTAACCAGGCAACCAACTGGTAGTCGTTAACACCCAGCACACTTGCAGTGCATGCTGGTTATTCTCGAGCGTTAGACAGCTCGAATACACCATTCGAGAGTAATTTGGTACCACTATGGAGTATCCCTTGGGACAAAATGTGTAAACTGACACCGGGTATCAACGTTTCCCTATTAGTATCGATCCAGTGAGATACCTGGGAGTGTCGCCGAGCAGTGGGCATACGTGGTCCCTTCACGTGAACGAACATTCGCTAAGGTTAGAAGACTCATTCTATGTGACACATCTCAGGTCTTCTTTCGTACCCCGATTTTTAATTCAGCGTTTTATCGCTGCATGTGTGTTATCCTATTGGAACTGTTGCTATCTAGTTATCTTTCCTAGTCTCCTGAGTAAAGACCTCAAAGTAATTGCCAGAGCAGTTAAGTATCTACGCCGGTGTAGTGGACGTTCAAGGATGGAAATTGTCAACATCATTGTTGCCAGCCATGTCAACTCCTGTAAAAGTTTGCATCTAAAATACGCACAGATGGTAGCCATCACCTCCACAGAGCTTTGTCCGAATGCTTATCAAGCTTCTCCTCGACCAGACAGATCTACAAAACTATATACACCCGCACTAGGGCCCCTATAATACACTGTGGTTCCTTTTCGGTCACGATATTTCAACGATAAAAATTCAGTCAATCATTCTCGCTAAAGGGCCGCGTTTACAACGCATCTGTTCGCTAAGTGTTGTTGTATATGAGCGAGTCCTGGCCGATTCGTATGGAAGACATGCGTCGTCTTTCTGCCTTAGATAACGGTTGCTTAGGGAGGATTGTTCGTGTTTGGTGGAAACATCGAGTTAACAGTAATGACGTTCGACGTCTCATCTTGGAGAATGCGAGTATTCCTTTCAACAAACTGATTTTGCTGCGCCAGTTGAGATGGTTCGGTCACGTCCTACGCATGGCATCTGAGTGTCTACCGCGTCGCGCTCTATTCGCTCGTCAAAGACCTGGCTGGAGGCGACGGCGCGGTGGCCAACCTTCCACTTGGCGACAGCATATGAAATCGCTGACGTCGTGCTTAGCCGCTGTTGGATCCGTACGTCTTTCAGGATGGGGACCCAAATATGGGTAGTACCAATGGCTTAACACTCTTGAAGACACGGCCCGCAACCGGAATCAGTGGAAAAATTGTGTACAGAATTGTATTGATTCACATGTTTAATACTTCAAAGATTGAAAAGGACAGAAAAGGAGAAAAATCGGCGCGTGAAAAACAAACTAAAAATGTCTTGCTCTAGTTTTTGTCAAAATGTGCCATTCTTCCTGCGGCATAGTAGCTGAAGTGTGTTGCTCACCTTCAACTACTATATCACGATGATTATTACGCAGTGAATTCCCCTTGTTTGCTAATTTCCATGTTTTTTTGGCTCTAGGTCTAGTTGTTAGACTGTTGAGACTACATACATACATAGAGTTATTCAAGAACTGATTAGTAACTTACTCGAGCGATATTTGCTTTGCCAACACCTTTTTTAACGATCGTGGTTTCATATTTATCCGCATGTACTATCCCTTTTCATTATTTATCCCATTCCGTAGCGTGTGTGTTAGAGCTGAATATTCACCCTACAAAGGTGCAGAAAGCACATTCTTGACTGACTCTGACTGGCTAACTGCCTGCTTTGTTTTTGGAATACTGTTTACCAATCACAGCTTTTCTGACGAGCCCTCCGGAGTGAAGGTTGTTAATTGTTGACTAACGTCCTCTCTCTGCCTGGCGATAGTACACGCTGTCTTCCCCGTCAGCGAACAAGCATATTGTGAAAAGAGCTTCTCCCGGGTGTTCTGGTCTGAGATCCCCGAAAACAAGCATTAAAGTGACATGGTTTCTTCATACCTAGCTGGATCGATTTCACTGTATTTACAGTCAGGTACCGCTTTCAGCCCACGAGTCATGAACTCGCCCACATTTTCATCCGATTTCCGAGAGAGCTTGGTGAAGTAAGATCTAGCCGTGAACACAATTTGACGTACACCCCAAAGAGCTTCGAAATATCTTTGAATCTCATCCCCAAGAAGCTCTCGTAAAAGTTTCACTTCGTTTCCCTCCGTAAGAGATACTGCTGAATTCATGATGGGAAGCAGTTACAGGTAATGAATAAGTTTCCGCCATCGATTACAAGTATCCAAAGTAGGTTTGTCTATAGAACAAGATCAAAAGACTGGTGGAGCATTTGTCATAGACATGTTAAACTCTATCGCCAAATGTCATATCTCACTACTAGTAGTACGTACATCGGCCCTTAGCCAGAACGAAGAAGGCAGCATGTGGACGGGAACCGTGTGCTCAAAACTGACGTGATACAAGTTACGGAGTACGAAGATAGATGGATGGGTATGCATGCGTGTGTGCATGTGGGAAAAGGACCAAGCAGAGTGGGAGCGCATAGTCAATGGGCATTGGAAAGCCCGTGACACGGTTTTTGGGTTGATAAACGTTTTGAAGACAAATGAAAATCCAACACACCAGAAAAACCCAAAAAAGCGATATTTAAAAATATAAACATTTTCGCACGCAAGCCATTCGTTCGTTCTTTTTAACGTGTTCTACGTGTGTTTATCCTTTTTCGTCCTCACATTTTTGGTCGAAGTGGACATTTCCATATACAAGCCTGCCGCCTTTTATGTCAAGTTTAAGTGGAATTCCAGGAAAGTTTTTTTCGCAGGTAAATGATTCCAGATTGGTAACGCTTGAATTTACATAAGTGCGCTTGGTCTCTAGGTGCTTATAAATGCTCGATCTAATAACACTAGAGCCTGATCTTCACGGTAATATTTATCGAGCAGCTTTTTAGTTGAACGTCTGTAAAATTTCAGCGTCAGAGTAAATTGCTTTCGTTGTGTACGATGGGGCCTGTCATTACAACCAAGTAGCCTGAGAACATCCAGTTTGGTTTATAAAAGTTTTTAGAAAATGAACTGATCGAATGAAATTCATGCAACCCTACGAAAAGTAAGATGGAGTTCCCACCGCTGAATTTGTTCCTTTCGACTTTAATCACACTTCGCAGGAGGTTAGTAGGATGCACGGAGAAAAAAAAGCGGCCTACGACGCGCTGGCTGCCGGTCAAGAATCTCAATGTGTAAGGTTAGAACAAGAATTCCGGGCTTCACGTGAGACTCGAAAAGTGGAGGAATCTCGTTTCTTTTACCTACACGCAGCTACGGGGATCACCCAAAATCAGCAACGCCGATTGCACGAGGAAATCCGAGGTTACCTTGCCGGTGGAAACTTAACAGGACCAGTCACTGCCGAAGCCAGCAGAAGTGGCGCAACAGAACGAGCCCAAACTTACCGGTACGTCATGCAGTTACAGAAAAAGCGGGTAAAATATAAGCGAGTTATTAAGGATAGTAAACAATATGGCGCAGACAGTGCAGCTTGGATAAGGTCATTGTTAAGTAAATGTGGAAATCCGGATGATACATTGCACTCACAAGATGCGGGAGGAAAAGCGCCGGCAGCCACGTGAATTGTTCTCACAAAATACTAATTATCCGTGCAGGAATTTCCCTAGCTGGATTAGAAGGCTGTATGAATTGGCGTACAATCAGGTAATTGTCTACTGTACACCAGTAGTCTCCGGGGTCTGTTCGGATAAATATCAACGGACAGTTTCTAGGAGAGGTGCAATGCAGATAGTAAGGACTCAGGTGGCGACGAAAAGACAATACGAAATCATTCGTCTATGCATAGAAACAATCCATGTTATAGTAGGAATTCACTAAATTATTTGCACAGATGATGCAACCGAAGGTTGACACGTTGCACTCGGTGGCTTCTTTGATGTGGCCGCCAACCGTGGCGTGTGAGTACAGCAATGCAAAGCGATTTGTCAGTAAGTGGAACCAAAGGAACACGCTGGCTACCAGCCGCTAGTCCAAGTTTATATTAGTGACATTACATGGATTTGAAATCACCTAGGGAAACATATCACACATTACAAGGACTTCCCAAAGCAGCAGTGAGCCGATCTGAAACCATGCTACGAACAGTGTCTACAGAATATGGGCGATTTTAAGATCTTATCTTCCTAGCTATTTCTTATCAAAACGAACTAAAGCTGAATGCACATTATGCATATTGAATCAGAAAGTGATCATAAACACTGAGTGTCAGCTGACGCAGGTCATCTTTAACATCGTGTGTAGTTGACGTATATCCTGGGCCTGTTTGTTAAGAGGGATACGATGTTGTATAAAGTTAATAGACGTTACAAAATCGTTTGATTATTTGCAACTCATGTGAGAAATTAACAGTTCATTGTATGCTTAATAGATGGAATATGGAAAAAGCACACCAAGGAGCAGTTGCAAGCCTATCCTTAAAATAATTATCCACATGTTAGATAGGGCTGCACTGGTCCGCCTGTCAGTTAGTCGATAAAGCTCGGTATCCGAAAGTAAAACATGAAGCAAAACCCATTGTTTCATAAACTGATCGATTAACTTCGATTGTATATTGATTTCAAAGATTCCGGAACCTTCCATTCCTTCACGTGACCGCCAACATACGGAGGGATGGCAATGAAGCTACTAATATTACCAGTTGAGCTCCGTTTTCTAGAAGCCGGTGACCGAGCGGTCTGCACGTTTGCTTTGCAACCATAAGGTCACCGGTTCGAATCCGCGTAGGGGTGGGCGTCCTCGCGGTATACTCAGCCCGCGCGCGACTGGTGGTGGTCGCGCGGCAGCGAAGCGCCGTTACGGCGTATAAACTGACACATTATTATTATTTATTATTATTAGAAGCCGAAGGTCATTGAGCGTCCCATAAATTTGGCGTTCGGGACAGCTGTTCAACATTGTGGCGGCGTTTGGTTAGGACGTTCACGGTCAAGGTGGTTTAACATTTGATTTTTCTTCGGCTGAACTAGAAGTCTTGCGGAGAATTTTGGGTGTTTAATTCGGAATAGATAGAAAATTTAAAGTATCTAACAATGGCGACGGAGAAAAATGAAAATGTGATGAATTATTTCTCTGAACAATTTCGAAAACCGCTCTTTCAGTAACTACCCCAAATGGAAGCACAGATGAAATTGATTGGAAATTTGACGCAGTGCTTGAATGTGCAGTCAACTGGAACAGCTAAACGTGACATGCAGGCCATTTCCTTTGATGTTCCTACAAATTCCATCACTGAATTTCAGTATGATGCTGATTCCGAATGCATTTTTGAGGCGCGGTTCAAACGCTAGGAAGACATGTTCCGGATGGAGTTCAACCGTCAGAATTCATGGGAAGTGTGACTTTTGCTCCGCAAGATCGGTACCAATGAACATTCAATATTCGTCGACCACATCCTGCCAAGAGAGCCGAAGGACAGTACCTACAACGAAGCATTTGCACTATTCAAAGAAATGTTTAGGGACTCGGCGTCTTTGTTTAGCATTTGCTATAAATGTTTAAATATTGTTAAGCTGGCTACGGACGAGTATGGAACAGTAGCAGACATGGTTAATCGTGAGCGTGAAGGATTCAAGTTACGCTCTTTGACAGATGACCAGTTTAAGTGTCTCATATTTCTCAGTGCTTTGCAGTCCCCGCGCGAAGCGGAAGCCCGCACTCGGCTTTTCGCTAAGTTGGATCAAGTTCGCGAATACAAGCGGTTGATCACTTGGAAACACTACATGTAATGATAGTGGAGAAACTAATAACCACATGGTAAATTTTCGGGTGGTTCCCCCGTTCCTCCGAACCCGGATTAAGAAGCCGAGGACGCTCTACACGCGGTCAGCGATTCCTACCATGGACCGCGCATAGCCTTCATTAATGTATACAGTTTAATGAACAAATGTGGCGATCTGTGTCACGTTGTTGCCTCTCGTCAGCCGGATGTACTGCGACTCGCCGAGACCCGGTCGAATCCTGAGGTATCTGCGCAGGAAGTCCACATTGAGGGCTACTCGTGCTTCCGATACGACAGACTATCAAACGACCGACGTATTAAGCTGCTAAACATTCCGTCCTCATGGTGCTTGATGCTGAGAAGTATCTACCGAATTGAAGATGGTCTATGTGAGTAATTGTTGTGCTCGATCCACCTGAGGCATGGCGTACTTTTCGTGGGTGTAGACTAACGCAGTCCGAGAAGTTGCTGTTTGGATTTGCTGCCGTATATCCGAAACCACATGAGTCGTTCCCGCTTCCTACTCATGGTTTAATTTAACTTCCCTCGAATACGCTGGCCCGGGATTCAACTTCTTTCCGGCAGTGTGTAGTCAAGGCAGAGTTTGCTGAGAGGATATTCGAAATTTTGGCAGCACAACCCAACTGCCAGCCGACGCGCAGTACACCACATTCAAATCCGTCATGATGGACTTGACGTTGACTAGTTGTGAACAGCGTGCGCGTGACGTTCACGTCTTGGAGCCTGTAGCAGCGAATCATCACCCGATGATCATGGTCATCATAGAGTTTTCGCTGCCATACTCGTGTCCGCTGAAGTCATCCTACAACTACTGGAACACTGACTTCGATGGTCTCACTCGAGCCGTTAGTCAAGTAGGTTGTCGCTGCTGCAGCATTCATTTGTTGAACCCTGTTGGTCCGTTATAAAAGATGGTGTAATATCGCTGTGCGCCTGATCCGTACCCATCAAGTATCGGGAAGCTGGGCGAATGAAGCTACACTGGTACGACAAAGAGTATGGTCATTTGGCTAGAAAACAACGCGTATTGTGAGATATTTCTCCTATCTGGCTTTGCCGACGATTACGAAATAAACAAAGACAACAGAATCCGCGCAACAGCGCGAAAGCACAGGAATGTCGGCAGCTCGAAGAGGAGCTTGCAACCACAGCGAAGACTGCCCCAAGCGAATTTTCCCTTACGTGAAGCGCCGCCTTAGACTTGCAGGCGACAGAGCAGTGTTAGATGGTTTTGACGGACAGTCTCTGACTTCCAGCGCTGAAGGTGTGTCCGCGTTGGCAACGTGCTAGGCTTCTGTACTTGCGAGTGGGAATGCGTCTATACCAAGCTCCAGGTGTGCAGCCCCTGCAGAACTCCAGAACCTGGATTGCGATGTAGATGTCCGCAATCTACTTGCAAGTCTTGACAGCACGAAGCCTGCCGGTCCAAATGGGCTCCACTCGTTGATTCTTTAGTCGTTGTCGGCCATCGCCTCGCACTCCGTGACTGATCTGTTCAAAAGTTCATTATCGGAAGGTGCATTGCCGAGTGATTGAAAATGCTCGATAGTGAAGCCGATGACCCAAGTAAGGTGGACAATTAGCAGCCGATTTGTTTGACTTCCGTTTCTGGCCAAAGTACTGGAGAAAATCGCGAAAAACAGCCTACTGCAACTGCTAGAGCCGGAAAACCTCCAGACCACCGCACAGCACGGATTCATGGGGGGCCGCTCCTGTATCACTAACCTGCTGTTAACGCGGCATGAACGGCTGCAAGTGTTGAACCGGAGAAAGTCGGTGGATGTGATCCACATTATTTCACTAAAACTTTAGACAAAGTGAACAATGAGGTCCTCTTCAACAAGCTGAGGACGTGCAGTGTTGGTGGCTCACTGCACTAATGGATCAATGATGTCTGCATTGGCCGAAAATGGAGTGTGTTTGACAATCTAAAGGACTAATACCTTTACAATAGTGGCGTACCGCAGCGCACATTACTGGGACCTAAGTCAACGAGGTACCCCAGCTTCTTTGGGCGCCTTGTGCTTTGTTTACGGAGGACCTGAAGGTTTGGAGAGCAGTTGATGTTCCCGGTGACTGCGACCTACTTCATCATGATCTTGATCGCCGGTCCAAGTGGTCTGCAAAGGTTGATCTGCCGGCCAACCCCGTCAAATCGTTTTATTTGAAAAAGGGGAAGGATGGTGATGGGCGTGCGTACACTCTGGCCGGCCAAACGCTACATCTGTCACCTTCCGCAAAAGATCTTGGTGCACTCTCACGCTGCGATTTGAAGTCCGCAGACAACATGAACAAGCTATATGGAAACGGACCGCGCATGCTTTGGGCGCTCAAACACAGCTTCTGCATTTGGTCTGTAGAAGTGGCCACGTGCCTCTTCGCTTCCGTCATAAGATTTATGCTCGAGTACGGATCACCCGCCTTTTGTCTGATCACTCGTGGTGAGGTGTACATATTGGAATGTGTTCAGCATGTGGCTAGCACAAAAGATTTTGGCGAAAGGAGGTGGGATCAAATCAAGTTGTGAACCTCATCAGTAGACCTGAAGGCTAGTTTTTTCTTACAACAGCAGCAGCAATTTGAAACAGCGCAGCTGCGACTGATTGAGACTCTCTCTCTCTCTCAAACGTTATCGCTTCAATCCACAACCCTCCAGAATAGTGGGAAGCCTTCAGCGTAGTCAGTGGTCAACAGCGTTAGTGAGTTCATCTTTGATCCTGATTCAGGCGCTATGAATATGTCTTCAGGACAGAGTTGTCAAGTCTCGATGATGCATCGAAAGTTCGTTTCCTGTTACGAAACCTTGGAACGGTCGAGCATGACAGATATCTCAACCACATTTTGCCAAAGAGCGCCCATGATTTCAGCTTTGATGACACAGTTGCCTGGCTCATAGAAATGTTTGGAGACCAGTCATCGCTTTTTAACAATCGGTACAATTGTTTGAAGCTTTGCAAGGAAGACAGTGACAGTTCTATCGCTCATGCAGCAACAGTAAAGCGTGAATACCATAAATGCAAGCTAAAGTCACCGAAGATCAGTTCGAATGTTTGATATTAGTGTGCAGCCCCCAAAGATGCCGAAATCCGGACGAGAATACTTGGGCTGTTGGAACTTGACCCGGATGTCAAATTATCTGACGTCATTGCGGAAGCCCAGATGATCATGAATTTGAAGCACGACAAAACTATGGTGGGAGATGCAAGTGCATACTGGTGATATTACTGTCCAGCAAGTATCCAGATGCAACACCTCAGCAAACGAGCACAGGCGATGTCCACAAGCTAAACCCCCATCTGCTTGCTGGCAATGCGGGGGTTGGCATTTTGAGAGATGGCGCCCCTTTAGCATGCACGTCTGTCAGAAGTGGAAGAGACAAGGACACAAGATCAACTGCAGGTCCAAAATACCGAAGGCCACTGAAAGTTTGCAAGAAGGGTAAACGCTAACTTCTCCGACGATGTTAAAGAGAGAAGAAAGTTTGTCACTATCAGCATCAACGGGTGACTGGCGTGTTTTTAAATTGGCACGGCGTCTGACATCACAGTTATTTCGGAAAACTTGTGAAAAACTGTTGGTGCACCCAGCATTAAACCGATTGGCCAACAAACGACGAACACATCAGGTATCACGTTAAATTTGATCGGTAAGATTGAATGAGTGACGTTTTGCTGAAGCCGCCGATTTGGGAAATATTTTCGTCACAAGAACTTGAAGCTCCTTGGGCTAGAATGGATAGAGCGTTTCAACCTTGTGAATGTTTCCGTCAACCAGATCTGTACCTGCGCTAAGCTACACAAGCCGAACACACCCAGAAAGGCGTCCTGGTAGTTGGCAACAAAGCCATGGGAATCAGTTCACGCTGATTTCTTTGGTCCTGTGAATAGTCAGAAGTATCTAGTCGTTGTTGACTCCCTCAGCAAGTGGCCTGAGGTTGAGTGCATGGAGCATACAATAAGTGGTGTAACCATCAACGTTCTAAAAAGAGTTTTCAGCCAGCACGGCATACCTGAAACTTTAGTCACTGGCAGTGGTTTTCAGTTCACTTCTTCCCAGTTTGCCGTTTTGAGCACAGAAGAGCATCACGCATCAGCGGCCACTGCCGTACCACCCCCAGGCAAATGGGCAAGCAGAACGCTTTGTCGACACGTTTAAGCGATCGCTACTGAAAATGAGGGGGAACGAACTAGGCAAGATATACTAGACACTTTACTGCTAGTGGACAGACGAATCTCGAAATCTCAGGTGCCAAATCAATCGTCGCCAGCAAAGGCGCTAATGGAAAGAAAACTCTGTACTGTAAATCCCTTGCTGCTCCAGAGGCGCACTATCCCACAGGAAAGGAACACTCGAATGGAAAGGTACTACAATGAGCGACACATAAAGCAAACAAATCAATGTTTCCCAGCACAACGTTTTAGTCAGGGCCTATCGTATGGGAAGTGCAGTGGTTGATAAAATCGATCCGAATAAGACCTGGTCAGGTACTCTATGAGATCAGAGTGGGTATTTTGATTTGGTCCAAGCATGCTAATCAGCTGTGACCAAGTAGCATCCCAGCAAACACTAGTACTCGACTGCTACCACTAGATGGTATACTGTAAAGTTTTGATATGCCACCAACTATTGAGAAAGCTTCAGATGCATCACGTACAGAAGTTCCAGAAGAGTTGTAAATACAATCGCGGCGTCGGACTGATGGAGTACGGAAATTCGCCATCAGAATGCAGCTGGATCCAAGAAGGAAGTCGTATGTTAACTTTTATGAGGAAGTGTTAAGGGATTGGGCACCCTTTTGCTAGCAGCCCGGAACATTTGACCATGACGCGGGCCGAAGCTTATTGACCAAGCAATGAGAACGGGCTACTGGTGACGCTTCACATTGAACGCTACCTATGAGGATGGTCCATCTAGAAACCCGCCAGTGAGCGCTAGGCCATGCGCTTAGTAACCATTGATTCGACATCATTATTTGAGTTGTTTACACTGCTTGTCGGGTGCTCAATACAGTTTTTGCCTGAGACCCTTGTCTTCTAAATTGGACAGGCGGCCGGTCAGCTTGCGCGGTAGCATCACGTTATTCGCATCATCAGCGGAAAACACAACACAGGCTCATTCTCAATTTACGGCGTATGTCGTATAAGGACTGATGCAGACGACTAGGGCTGTACACCCTGTGGTATCGTCGGTTTCCAGTGGACCTCATAGTGACACACCGGGTATTGCGTGTGGGTCACTACCCCATGCTGAGGCCACGGCTGCACGTGCGCGGACCAAGCAGTACTCGCGGCCACCGGTATTAGGGTTATGGTACCGGATCTAAAGCGGATAGCTCACCTTCATTGCTTCGAGAGGCGAGTGGTAAAATATTGGGACATTATGCCCGAAAAAATAGTCGAGGCTAAATCAGTGTCGGAATTCAAGCGATTCTTATACACCCACATTATCGATCTCAGGTCTAGGGAGCGCATCGCGTCGCAACAGTTTATAGCGCAGCTGTGATATGCTGCAAACGAGCAGGAATCAGTGGCATGATTCCGTGCCTGATCTAACTACGATGGAGCAACACAGATGTATGTCTACCAGCCCTCTATTCGCAGGATTCAGTGTTCGTATTTGACTTGTGATACTCTACTAATGCAGTTAACAACAAAGTGGGCTCAATGAGCGTGTTCGAGCATCTCTTTGTGAAGCGGCGGTGGGATCAAAATGCGATTTCTTTTGAACAGCAAACCGTCATACATCGTGAGTCCATCACGAAAGTTGAAAAAGGACGCTAATTCCTTAGGGATGTTGTTCTTTGTATCTAGCCATCCTCACAAAATCACGTCTTGTAAAACCATGCAGGTCGCGTCTACCTCCGTATGATGCCCTATCTCTTTCAGACGATTTACATTAAACGTCATACGTTGTATCAGATTGACTGCGTCAAGTTCTTCCTGTTTATGTTAGAGTATCGGAAGATGGGCTCTCGACAGAGCGTTTGCGATGAACATCTGCGTCCTCAGAGTGTACGCAAGGTTCATATAGTATTTCTGGAGAACAGAAAAGCATTTGTTGAAAACGTCAATGGACACTGTGGTACAATTTACTGGCTATTGGCACGAACGGTTTATAGTGGGTATACACGTTAAGGCGCTCCATCGATTAGACAACAGAGAGCATCTGCTTTTCGATCTGCGCATAGCGCTGTTCCCGTGCCGTGAGCACTCGACCGTGAAAATCCAAGCGTTCACTACCCTACGTAAGAACGGCGACTATGCTGCTCTGACTGCTATCATATTGCGCCTCCATAGGCAAAGGTTGATCGTAGTAGCCGAGTACTGGTGCACAGCTGATGAGGTGCTTGTAAAGGCGGCCTCCACAACTCCACTTCACACCCTTGTGTGTCAGCCATCAAATGGTTGTTATGATTTCAACTAGTCTTGGTAAGAAGCGGCTCAAGTAATTCATCAAGCCATTTAGACGACTAACAGACTTCCTTGACGTCCTTAGGTGGTGGCATCTCCTGCACTACCTTGGCATTTTTGGTGTCGATCTTTATTCCTTTGAATGTCAGAACGTGCTCATGAAAAATCACTCCGGGTTTTTCGGAGGTCCACTCTCTCGCGTTCAAGCTTTGTTTTTTTGCACACAACGCTGTGAAAAGTGGTGCAGACTGGCGTCATGTTCTTGTCCGTTTGAGCCGTAAATCAGCACATCGTTTGCTACACATATTACACCGTGTATACTTTTTCTTAGTCAGTTGTATCCATAGCGCTTTCAAGTTCCTCCTAGAGGAATTCATGTGTCTCCATAGATCTCCCAAGACGGTCCTTAACGCTTTCAAACTGCATCCAATGGTGGGTGCAAACGTTCACTCACTCAGAGCAAAAGATATCCGCGAGGCTGTCATTAAGACTTCACAGCTACGGAGTTCTGATGGGGAAACGATCACGCCCAGTAGATTAGACAAGGCATAAATGAAGTGCACATGCTCATGCAAGACTGTTCAATAATTGTTTCCAAATTACCTTTCAGCGAAATATATACCCGAAAAATCAATGAGCAGGAAGCAACCACGAAGTCCTTGAAAGAGGAACAAAAACAATTGCTGGAACGTGAAACGAATGGTTACAGACAGGTGAAGCTTTGGAATGATTTAGCTCTCTTGATGGAAGCCAAAGCGGTGACGAGAGAGGAAGCAGAAGCACGTCAGAGAGCTGGAGGAGAATATGCCGATGTGAAACAAATCGAGGAAGATAGAATGCTTTTGTGAAGTAAAATGGCTGTCATATCAACCATAAAATAAACTGTAATGCATTGCCATTGTAGTCTGCAGTTAAACCAACTGTGATGAAAATATGAGAAGCAGAATCTATCGTTTCGTTGGTCAGATGAGTTTACTTACTAAAAGATGAAATGGGTAAGGGTATGCTTTTCACATCGAACGCAAATCCAACTTAGATACATCATAGTAAAATTAAGGCACGATTCAGCGAGGACATGAACAAGCCAAGTGGTTTCTCAATAAAAACAGAGTCGGTTAAATATATGACCAGAAGCTTCCCGGGTACTTATAGTTAACGTAACTGGCAACAACCGGATTACATCGATCACCGCTGTCCAGTACATTGAAATTTACACTAGTTCACCAAGATCCATTACCCTGTCGGCCACTCCGCAGATGAGCAAATGAAATGCGATTCAGCGGAACGATGGAGATGCGCGATCAGCAGTGGCAGACAAGTTGGGGATTCGGGTAGGCGCATACAGCTGAGAATGTACTGATATCCTAAGAACGAGTGGAACGATGACAATTGTCATGGACCGCAATCTGAATAGTCCATTTTACTCTTTCTGATTAAAAGGGAAATAAGTGCCGATTCGACTACCCAACCTCACTGACCACGGTATATGATGGGGAAAGAAAAAACCTGTGAAAGATCCGAGATAATCGTAGCAAATGCAGCAACAGGGAGACAAACGTAGTGCCCGAGTTCCCGCGGAAGTTCGCCGCATCAGTCGGAATAAAATTACAGAAATTTAAAGGAAAAACAAAAGTTGTATCTTCGAAACAAGTTCAGTAATGAAACCATATAAAGCACGGGTATGATGAATAGAAGTGGCAAGAGCAGAATGGAGAAAAAACTGACATAGAAAGCCATGGTGAAAGATATAGAAAGTTAACCTGTCAAAACGTTGACAGGTTGGGTAGGCAGACTATGTCACTCCAAAGCACCTAGAGCTGCCATCATTGTGACACCGGTGGTGAGGGCGATGATCTCAGCGATGCTCTGCGTCAAACGTTTGAGGATTCCAGGAGTAGTCTTTGGTTCCGAAGACTCGGGGTTCAACAAATCCGGGAGCACAGAGGTCATAGCAATGTAGATGAAGCCACCGGCCGTAAATGGTAACACGCATCCAGTCACCAAATTTTCAGTGAGAAATAATGAATCAGGCTGACCAGACAAGCCGTCGATACCAACTCCGGCGATCAAGAGACTCAGGGAGGCACCTAACACGGCACCCATTGCTGTGATCAGCTGCAACAGCATGGCCTGTGAAGTAAAATAAAGGGCGATTGAGTAACGAAGAAAATTCAATTTGCATTGAACCTCTGAAAACAGCTGTCAAAATAGGTGAAATAGAGTGTAGTGGATTTCCGTATTTGATAGCTATTTCTAGGAGAGCAAAAATTGATGGCGTTACATGAATTTCAACCGCGGTAACCACCGTCAGTATCGGTAATCTAAAGGTGATGGATCGAGGGGCAGTTGTAGCCTATGGGAATATGATGGTTCAGGGTAGTCTGAAGGAACCACAAATCGAGAAACTAAGCACTCCACATAAGTTTATCTGGCTATATTGATAGACTTTACGATTAGCTCGTTTAAGGAGCCTCAAAACATACAGGAAAAGTATGTAACCGGAGGCAGTGAGTGATGATATTAAGATTTTCAGCTTAGAAAGGGATGTGGAGACGCGATCAAGGACTTTTTCATAAAGTACGGATTTAAGAAGACACAGTGTAGAGGTGAGTGACTCGAGTGAGTTGTACAATGCGCATAGTACGGTACTCGTACGGTATAATGAGGGGTGGCCAATAGACATGACATTGGCGGAGATGAAGTGATCAAAAACAGAGCAGCAACTGCGCTCAATTGTCAAAGCCATCCGCACTTGGTTTGTCACAGATTGTAAACTAAAGATGCACGCGGCGCTACCAACAATCACTATCTATCGAGTAGCTTGAAGTTATCACGGACGATGTCCGAACTATCAGCCCCGAGCAGTTGCGATTGTATGTGAAGCACAGGGAAATGCATCACTCACAAGGACGTGCATTCGTACAGTGTTCCTACTCGATGCGTATTTTAGATGGATGGCTCGTCATTCACTAAAGTAGTGAAAATAATAAATGAGCATGCCTCCATGGGCGTGCCTCGCATAGTCGAGAATAAAATATTTATTTATTTAACTAACATTAAAGCGGAATACCTGTAGCACGGGTTGTCTAAGTGTAGGTCAGTTTGCCGAGCTGAACTATTTCGTTGCCAACGTTGCATCACCAATCGTCAATGCGCATTAGGCAAACTGGGTGGCTCTTCGACCCTTAACCGATGAGCGAGTGATGTTTAAACTTGACCACCTCGATTCAGGTCCCGTGACCATTACTAGTTCGCAGTTCGATCGGCACCACTTTTATACTCATTGCTTGTAAATCTAGCTAGTGCATGAAGATAGATTACACGTCAGGAAAATTATTGGTCTATGACGTCGCTAGATCTAACAAGTTTCAGCACAAGAGCCGCAACTATGCGACGATGTGTAAACGTCTGCTAGGGCTGAGAACAAAACCCAATGGAACAAAAAGAAGTGCCGACAAGCCGAATGCACTAATGGATAGCTGCGTATGAGGAACTAATGGTGGGGGCTGATTATCTGAAAGGTGCATCGCAATTACACCACTTCTCAGCCAACTGTGTTCAGACTGCAGTCAAATTCCTCCTTAAGAAAAATCATGTACATCTGTAAGCAACTTCAAAATAGTTATTCTTTCAAGTAAGATGAATTCAACCGGTGCGGGCGCATCAAAGTGTGTACTGTTTGCCTTGGTGGCCAATAGGATACACCATGGAGTACCAGCGTGGCTTTGGACCCAAGGTTGCGAGCGCGCAGAAGGAACGAGCTTAGGGGGTACTAGCCACCAGATAAAGGATCAGGAGCCGTGATCATGGACCGCACAGAATACGTGCAAAAAATGAAACTTATCCTCTCGGACACCTCCAAATATGTATGATGTGAACGAGAGGACAAAACAAATTACACAGAAGCACAACTGACAAAGTGTTTGAAATCAGTGGTCACTGATGGCCACATAAATAAAGAAAGATATGAAACGCTAAGACCCACCGGCTCCATAATTCCCAGTCTCCCAAAAATACACAAGCCAGGTGCGCTATTTCGACCGATATTGGATATGAGGAACTCACCAGAGCACAGCATCGCAAAATGGTTAAGGTCTATTTTGGGTCCTATTAAGAAAATGATAGTCCCTCATCAACGTACGGACACTTTCCAATTTGTTGAAAAGGTTTAAACCATGAACATCTTAAGCTATCGAATGTTTTCTCTGTACGCCGTACCTCTGTACACGAATGTACCACTTCTAGAAACAGTCACCTTTCTTTATACTTACAATGAGCAGCCCAGGATAAGGATCGAAATACCAACTGTCCACTCAGATGCACTTATAACATCCAATTCCAATTTAACAAGCAATCGTACAGACAAGTAGATGGGGTAGCGATAGGATCACTTCTCGGACCACTATTCATCATCATCATCATACACGTTAGCTAGAGGTGGGGAACACCTCAGCTACTGTGCCGCAATACACAGAAAAAAAGAGAAAAAAAGAATGCACTGGTGCAAGCCGGCTGAGCTACCGGTAACGGATGGGCCTCGTTCCGGTAAGCTACCAGCCGGCTACTGTGCATCAAAAAAATTACTATGCAAAATTATATAAGGCTAGATAGTGAGATCGTGATTGGAGGGGGAGGCTAAGAGGGATGGGGTGAGACAAAGAAACTCACAGCACGAACGTCACTGAAGTCGGCTCCTAGCCATATCAGCAAGTGTGTCCAACCAAACGTGTTCATCTTCCTTCGGACCACAACCAAGGAGCCGTGACGCTCCAACCGAGGCCAGCTCAGAAGTGAGGGCCTTCATTACTCTCAACCAAGTCATCGCTTGGCCACCCCTCCTCTTCTTCCATCCACACCCCCGGCGCGCAAACAACGCACGTCGCGGGAGTCGGTGGGCTGGCATGCGTAACACGTGGCTGAGCCATCGGAGCCTAGTGCGTTAAATGACGGTGCTGAGCGGTTCATTTCCTTTTCCTGTGCCATAAACAAGGCGTCGAACACGCTCGTTGCTCACGCAGTGTTCCCACCAGATGTGAGCTAAATTACGAAGGCACCGGTGGTCGAACGTAACTAGCCTCTTCAGGTCCGCTGCTTTAAGCGGCCAGGTTTCACAACCGTACAGTAGGGTCGAACGTACCGCTGTATTGTACACTCCACCCTTCAGGGTAAGAGTGATGTCGCGCCGGCGCCATAAGTGGCGAAGGTTAGCAAAAGCGCCCCGACCTTTTGCTATCCGGTTCGTGATCTCATCCTCAATCCCACGGACGCTGATACAACTTCCCAGGTAGTTGAATTTTTGAAGGACTTCTAGCTGATCCCCACCAACGGTCAGCGTAGGAGGCGGTCCAGACCAATCTTGGAGGAACGCTTTGCACTTCGAGGGTGCGAAGCAAATCCCGAAGTGACGGACAGCTAGTGCTAATCTGTCCAGTGCCGCCTGACACGTTTGTGAGCTGTCATAGATTAGGGCAATATCATCAGCATACTCTAAGTTAAGAAGTCGTTCTCCTGGGAGCAGATCCACACCTTCTAAGTCGTGTCCTGCGAACGCGATTTCCATGACTTCGTCAACAGCGAAATTGAAAAGGAAAGGTGAGAGCCGGCATCTTGTCTCATGCCGCTGGAGATATTAAAGGGCGACGACAACTTGCCGTAAGTCCCCACTCTGCCCGAGCTATGCGCATATAATGCTCGGATAATATTCACATATTTCTCAGGTACACCTTACTGAGTAGACAGTCCCAAAGTGCATGTCTATCCACCGAATCGAATGCACCTTTGATGTCGAGGAACACGACAACGGTGGGCCGCCAATATATGTGACGGTGCTCCAACAACTGACACAAAGTGAAGATGTGGTCAATGCAGCCACGACCTCGACGAAATCCAGCTTGCTCTTCACGAATATGGCTTTCACGAGTGCCAGTCAGTCTGTGAAGGATGACAGAGGCAAGCAATTTGGAGGCGATAAAGATCAGACTGATTCCTCTATGGCTGCCGCATTCCGATCGTGAGCCTCCCTTGAAAATAGGGACCATGACGGAGCGGCTCCAATCGGTTGGGACAGTTTCCTGCTCCCACAGTTTGACTAGTAACTCGTGTAAATCATCCACAAGAGCAGGTCCCCCGAGTTTGAAGAGAGCTAGAGGAAGATCATCAGGTCCCGCGGCTTTATTTAACTTCAACAGTTCGATCTCACGTTCGACTTCTGAGCAAGAGGGTGGATCCAAAGGGACAGCCCACGGAGCAGGGCTATCACTGGCCGGCGAGAAATCTAACCATTCCGACCGATTAAATTGCCATTCAAAGTGCTCAGCCCAACGCTCTAAGCGTTTTGATAAGTTGTGGATAGGCTGTCCACTCACGTCACGTATAGTTTCACTAACGCCAGGTCTCCTGCTGCCCGTTTCCCGTATCAGACGGAATAACTCACGATGGTTACTAAGGGCAGCGGTCATTTCCATCTCTGACGCACGATGAGACCACCAGGATTCGCGGTCTCTCTTCAGGCTAGCACGGAGTTTTGCCCGGAGCTCTTTGCGACTTTCATTGTCTTCGCTTCCAGCCGGAATATGCCGGCGAGCATCTATAAGTTCCAGAAACTGTGAAGAGACCCAATGTCCATGTTGGTGATTAGACATACCACATGAGGATTTTCCTGCTGCTAGTAAGGTCTGGTGAATATGAGACCAGTGACCTTCAATTGCATCCAGTGAGCACTTATCCAGCTCGCATGACAGCGTACTTCGATATGCATTCAGAACAGCTGGCTTCGCCAGTTGGTTAGTGTCAATGCGCTCACAACGTCGTCGTGCGCGTCCGCCAAAGCCCATCTCCAGGTCAGCACATACAAGTGCATGGTCGGTGTCCACACCTGTGCTCCAAATCGAGCGACAGTTCTGGACGCAGCCTCTCCATCGGTAACTTATCGCAATGTGATATATGGTTGGCGGCATCCGGTTTCGGATTTGCCTGTCACTGTGGCAAGCCACAGGACGCCTGCGCCTACAGAGGGACCATGGATGGCTTGCGCTGCACCACCCACAGCTCCAACCACACACCCCATATCCAGTGTAAACCCGAAGGAATAAGACCGGGAGGCATGCGGATGGGAACCAGGTTTCATCAAC